TGTTGATATCCTTTAGCTTGTGTAATGTTTACTGCAAAAATTTTAGAAGTTTACAGGCTACACTTATTCCTGAAAGTTCTAATGATCTGTTAATGACGGATTATTATTAATCAATAAGAGTTTTACAACAAAACTATCCCACTCAGAGAATACAATACCATGAAAATCATTTTTACTTGTAACTAACTTCCAGTAAACTTTTCAAAATTTTTATTCAAAAATAATTATCTCAGAGATCAGCTGGTAATTACTTATGATTGATTCATGAACTCGTTTTGTGGTGTGAGCTACTTATAAGTAGTATATGACGTGAGTGTCAACTTAATGTCTGGTAGCAGAAGATGGGGGAAGATCAAGAGAAAGGAAGAGTTAGAAGAACACAATGGAATTTGTATGAAACGCATGAATAAGTGAAATGTCCGACAATGGATTGATGATGGATTAAAGATTTGCAAATTAACGATTTACGATATGGTTTTCCGATTTTACTGAGTAACTCTGTAATTTTCGTTGCCCCACCTGTGTTCTCGTTCACTACAGTTTAAACCTTGTGGATTATTCTATTAGAACCTAGTAATCGAATAGTTTTATGAATTTTATTTGACTATCAAGTCCTAGATTTTATTCAAATAGCCAAAAGTCATCATCAAAGCATATTGTTCAAACTTGAATGAAGCCTACAAAACATTTGTTCAATCCTTTTTTTCACCGCGAAACATTTTGTTTTGAGATAAAAGAACAATTTCCGATCAAGTATTATGCATTAGAATAACACACTTACTTACTTACTTACTTACTTACATTACGCCATTATTTCAATTGCCAAAAAATTTCAGAAAACTGCTATTATTGTAACGCGTTAAAAGTTAACTATCATTTTAATTAATAATATTCAAAAGTTCAATTATACACTATCAGTAATAAATTATTGAACATTGAATTTATTTCTACCACATATCGTGTCATTAATATAATAATAATAATAATAATAATAATAATAATAATAATAATTAGTTAATAATATTTCTCATTTAAAATTCATTTTAATTTTTTTAGGTCTGATAAAATAATTAATCTTTGTTCTAATTGAATAAAATGTTCAATTATTTCAATTGTATTATTATGAGGTATTTTTTAGGCAGATTAAATTTTTTGTTTTTTTAATTAAAAGTATCATTATTTTTTTAAAAAAAAAATAAATGAACACAAAATAATTAATTATTGAATGAATGATTCTCATTTAATCAAAAGTTGACTGATTTTTAAATAAAGTTGAAAACAATAATTGAAACAGAATAATAGTACCATTGAATTGGATATTTGGAAGAACGGTACACTCCACACACATTGATCATGCATGGTAAAACTAGATTTGTGATTCACGCTCAAATTCGTGGACCATATTCAGTAATATACACTATTTTATTCTACACACACGGTGAGTTCGGAATAGACATCAATGCCAGAAAATGAAACCACATAGTCAGTAGGCTGTGCCTATCCGTCTACACTTGATTGATCAGTCACATTTTTCCCTCACTACTGATAAGTTCGTCACTTAGTATGCTTTAGGCTATTACGAGTTTACATTAGTCAATAAACGCGAACGAGACATTAACCAGCGTCCAGGTAGGCTACCTTGAATCCGAGGCTGAAGAAAAAAGGCTTTGTAAGCGTAGAAAGCATATTCTACAAACACCCAGCAATCACAGTACAATCAAGCATACAACTCTTGTTTATTTGTACAACATAGAAACGTCCTTGAGACAGTTAAGAAAATAGCACACTAAAATACACAGCAGCCAATCATAGCCATGGATTTTCCTGGTGGGAATTGAAATCTCAAGGTCAACTGATCAGCCCATGCTGGCAAACGTGAAAACCAAAATAAGGCATTATCAACCGAATTTTAGGGATCTAACATCCCCAACAACTACCACTCATCATCTCTCATCAGCTGATTACAACCGTATATATAAGTAACCATGATATGCAAGGAATTCATATTATTCTATCTCATTTGTTGTTCAGAGCTTCACTTAGATTAATTCAAGGGAAAAAAACTGCATGAATAAATTTTTATCCGAATAATATTCAACTATCAATAATTGATTAGAGTTGTAATTTAGACATTATTGAATAAGAGTGAGATTGAACTATTGATTGTTGGGTCGAAAGTGTTGATTAAGAATCAAGTTATAAGGATAATTTATCCAGCTTCATTAATGTTCATTAACTTGAAATATGTTCGGTTGTTGATTAGATTTACAAATGAGTTATCATTGTTGAGTTATTCTCTACACTTTACTAATCAATAATCATTACATTATAGTTAAGACGATGAAATAGTTTTTCATGATATAGAATGATAGAGACTGATAAGCTTCATTGAACTAACGAATTGATCATTGTTAGATCAACATTACAAACATGAAAGCACTAAGACGGCGTTTCGTCTTAGTATGCGACTCATAAGTAGTTAGTACCCACGATCACTGCTCGTGGGAATCGAAATTAGGACTTGCGGTATCGCTCTCAAACACTTAACCTTTTGATCACTGAGTGGGCATCCAACCCTGTTATTGTCTAACTACAATCAATTCACAAGGTATTGTACAACCTCACTCATTTTATTCGGCAGGAACTACCTACACCTAAGGGATTTGGACTCCTGTGGTCACGTCTTCTCATTAGATTTCAGAGGATTTGCTCACGAAGCTAGTCACCAGTTAGACAATAATACCCTTGCATACTGACTCAATAGTGTAGAAGTTAAGCATTCACGCACAAGAACGAGAATGTGGAGTTCAATTCCCACAAGCAGAAGTCACGGATGCGCACTACCGATGAGTCCCATCCCATGATTAGACAGTCATCTTTCAGTACATCCAGGTTCCTAATTCTCGTTTAACATTGATCGATTGATGATTTAAAAATCACTCAACAATCTCCACAATCATTAAACGAAATTCAATTTCCTAATTGGTTAATAGTTTTTGTGTAGGATAACTATTTTTCTATTGGTTAAACTCAGTTCATATTAATACTGTTGATGATAGTACACACACATATATGGTTAATCATGTCATTTATGATCATTAAGCTTTATTTATGCTTAATTGCATTCTGTCACTTTGTTTATAGTGAGAAATTTAAAGATTGCGGTAATTCAATTCATTATAATCTTGTAAATTTTTTTATTGGTTACCACTTTCTGGATTGATTTGAAGTCATCATCAATAAAACATACATGATAGATTTTGGAAATATTGAATTAGAATAGTCTATAGTTGTGAGAGGTAATCTTTTTGAATAGTAGTAATAAAATAGTAAATCAATGTACTACAATACAAAAACTGTAATTCAATGCAATCGCAGTTAACTTTGACTACCAATCAGTATTGGAATAACTGGTACTTTGTCAATGAATTATGTTTAACATAAACTATGATATTTATGAATGGTATCATTCATGACAGTTTTAATTGTTTATTAATTTTTTTAAAGGTTCTGTGAAAGGTTCTGTATTATCACTGTCAATTATACCATGTGATAAGAAACCATGCGCATTGTACAGAGGTAATATGTCATCTATCACAATTGCTTTCAATTCATGTAAGTGAAATAATAATAATGAAGAATATATATAAAAGTTGGATTTGATATTATATGTATTTATATTTGCGATTTCCACCTGTTACCCCTCGCACCTGTTACCCCTCGTGGAGCATACATAGAGCGCCAATTTGGTTTCTCTAACTTACTTTATCTTGGGTTCTTTATTCCAGTTGTTCTTAATTTCTAATGATTCTTTTAAATATCTGCCTCTGATTTTCTGCATCTTTTCTTCGAACCTTGAGGAATTCAAGTTAAGGCTTGTCTCATGATGCAGTTGAGTGATTTACGTAACATATTTCCTACCTTACTTACTTACTTACTTACTTTCGCTTGTGACTCCCTACGGAGCATAGGCCGCCGACCAGTATTCACCCTTTCAAGTTCTGTCCAATTTTTATTCATTCTTCTCATGTCTATCTAGATTTCTCGGTGTAATTTTTTCCTTGACCTTCCTCTTTTCCGTTGACCGTGAGGGTTCCAAGTGAGAGCCTATCTTGTGACAAAGTTTGGTGCTTTCAGCAATGTGTATGTTATCCACTTCCAGCGCTTTTTCCTGATTTCCTCCTCCACTGGAATGTGGTTTGTCCTCTTCCACAGTAGGTTGTTACTGATAGTGTCTGGCCAACGGATCCGAAGTATTTTGAGTAGACACATGTTGATAAATACTTGTATCTTCTGGATGATGACTCTCGTATTTTTCCAAGTTTCCGCGCCGTACAGTAGAACTGTCTTCACATTTGTATTGAAAATTGTGACTTCCGTGTTTGTTGATAATTGTTTCGAGTTCCGAATGTTGTCCAATTGTAGAAATGAAGCCGTCGCTTTGCCAATCTGGGCCTTTATATATGCATCAGATTCTAATTACAAGTGATCACTATGGTAAACTTGGTCAAAATTATAGATTATAACAATTCACATACATTTGAATTTGTATACTTTTAATTTGGTTAAGCCCTTTTGATTAACTTATTTAACAGACTGAGTCTTTCGTATCTGTACCATTGTGATTTTATTATTGTCACGTTTGTATGAACAGGTATGATTGAACATTGTTTACCGCCGACACACAACCATTTTCCTCGTTTTAATGTCATCGGCTTAAACAGTCCAGTGACTCATTCATGTTCCTTGGTATAAATATGTACACCTCTTCACCGGCGTACTGGCTGGATCACTCATTTGCTCTTCGACACTAGTATCTCATTTTCACTTTGATCGCCTCTGGTTTTGTGATTTGTGTGTGGCACAACAATAAACGTCATCAACACTTCGTATTCATCTTCGGAATTGTATACACCGTTGGGCATTATCTAGTAAACAGTTATCAGGATGAGCAGGATACGAAATCTATGGAATTATATCGAATACCAAACGCCACAGAATTCTTGAACTCACATTTACCACAAGATATATAATTAGGAAACAAATTTCTTATGTTATTTACAATTATTTTACAACACCTAATGGAATACTTGATTTTAGACTGCGATAAATAATTGATAACAATAATAGTAATTCATTACTCTATCCAGTTATAAAACTTATAATTTGAACTAACACTGGTAAAGGGATAGATATAATATGAATCATTTTAAAGTATTCACCGACAAGCAAAAACACTTTAGAGAATTTGATATAATTATTATCGGATTTTATTGTTACCATGATCTCATCACATAAAATCAAAAGATAAAGTGAACTATTCAATCCGATTAGTAAGATTCTGATGTATAAATAAACAGGATTACGATCGAACTGTTTAAATGTTAATTTAATTACTCGTTTACACACTTGCTTACTCCTGTTACCCCTGATTGAGCATAGACAGGTCAACCAGCATTTTGTCCAGCCTGAGATGTCCTGGATTTTCCTTTCCAATTCTACATAATTGTTGTTCATTCTTTTCAAATCTACTTCCAATTATCGGAGTCGTGTGTTCTTTGCTTGACGTAATGTATATAATATGGTCTTTCTTTTTTCTTTTGGTCTTGAGGGTTCCAAGTGAGAGCTTGCCTTTGTGACGAAATTGGGTGATAATTTGTTCAACCTATAGTCCTTTAAGTATCTCGACAAGTATTTAAATTCATCTTTGATTGATTGTTCCATAATGATTGGTGATGTTGCAATTTGATTAGTATACGATCGATCCTTACAGGCTGGATAGTGTTCTGATCAAATTGCTACATTACGGATCATTGTGGAACAATCAATTGAATGGAACTCACCACTCTACATCAACTCCATTGACTACGAGAAAGCATTCGATAGTGTGGACAGGACAACAAATGGAGGCTCCTTCGACACTATGGTGTGCCTGAGAAAATAGTTAACATCATACGGAATTCTTATGATGAATTAAACTGCAAAATCGTGCACGTAGGTCAACTGACAAACTCGTTTGAGGTGAAGACCGGCGGTCTCAGGCAAGGTTGCTTACTCTCATCCTTTCTCTTTCTGCTGGTGATCGACTGGATCATGAAGACGTCAACATCTGGAGAAAAGCACGGTATCCAATGACGCAGCCGAACGATCTGGACTTCGCAGATGACCTGGCTCTTCTATCGCACACGCAACAACAAATGCAAGAGGAGACGACCAGTGTAGCAGCAGCAGTAGATCTCAACATACAGAAAGGGAAAAGTAAGATTCTCCGATGCAACACAACATGCGCCAACCAAATCACACTTGATGGAGTTGTCTTGGAGAACGTTAACACCTTTACATATCTGGGCAGCAGCATCATCATCAACAATCAATGTAGATCCAATGCAAATAACAAGCATAACAATAAAGCGTAAGTAAGTACACACATATAAGTTGACTAGCACAATATCTAAATATCTCAAAAAACTCTTTTCTTCAATAGTAATTATTTGTAAGCAATGACATATAAAATTAATTAATTAATTATTTATTGTATACTTTATTATTTCTTACATTTTTATAGCATCGATTGTTAACGTAGCCACATCTGTAGTCCATGGTATAATTTCATTCATACCAATACCATTTCCTTTGGAAAATCCTAATGTTTGTAATTTTGTTCATCCATCATGTCCTTTAAGACCAGATGAAAAATTGTACATTTATAATTATACAATGCCTATTGCATTGACTTATCCAGAGGTAAGAAATGTGATATGAAACAAAATAATATGTCAAAAATTGATTATATAATCATTTTTGAAACCATGAGTCGATCAATGTTAGACCACCATTAGAAACCTGGAAGCACTGGACGGCCGTTTCGTCCTGATATGGGACTCCTCAGCAGTGCGCATCCACGACTCCTGCACCCCGCAGGATTCGAACCCAGGACCTTCGATATTGTGCGCGAACGCCCTAACCGATAGACCACTGAGCCGGTATCTAACGGTGTTAATGTCTAACTTGGTCATATTCACGGAGTTGCGCAACCTCATACACAGTCTTCGGTAGTTACTGTCTACACCCGAACAGGTTGAACTTCACTGGTCACGTCTTCCCACTAGAACTCGGAGAACATTCCTCACGAAGCTAGTCACTAGTGAGCACAGGTAATTTGCATTACGGGGTTGTGAAGATTGTTAAGTTACACATTTTTGAAACCATGAATCGATCAATGTTAGATATTGTTATGATATGGATGTGTCAAATTATCATATCATATCGTGAATCAATGATTGTCAGTTCATCATTAAGAAGAAAAAAAAACAAACGTGGAAGAACTGAAACATGGCCGTTTCGTTCTGATGAGTATCCACGACTCCAAATTGCAAGGTTGGAATACAGGACCGTCGGTATCACGCGTGAATGCTTAACCTCTAGACAAATAAGCCAGCACCCAATAGTGTTCATGTATGTAACTTTGTTCAATGTGAGTTTTTTGTGCAAACTAATATATTGTCTTTAGTGAACTCTGCTGAAATCCACTGGTCATGCATGGGTTGGGTGTAAGCAGTAATTACAGAAGATAATGGGTGATATTGTGCAAAATACTAAAGTTGATCAAGGTTAGACAATAACAATGTTGGATGCCGGCTCAATGGTATAGAAGTGAATTAGTCGAACACGAGACCAAAGGTCCTGGGTTCGGTTCTTTTGAGCAGTGGTTGTGGGTACGCATTGCTAAAGAGTAGTACCATACTAGAGCGAAATGGCCGTGTTTCAGTCATTCCAGGTTTCTAATCATGGACTAACAATGAGTGAATCACGATTTCAGTGTAAAACCACAATCTCCCATAACTCTACAGTGAAAAATCTAAACTATAAATTAACATTTCAGATTAATAATTAATCATTTAGGTAATAGTTCACTTCATTTTTTTGACCATTTTAACTCTGCCCTGGGAGTTAGAAGGTCTTCTTTTACAAGAATTATGACGTCTCATGATGAAAGCCGAGTTCCTTCGTGAGTCACAGGCAGATGCCCTTTCTCACAACCAGAGAAACCATTCTTTTAGGTACATGGAATGTCCGAACATTGTGGGAGATGGGAAGACGATTTCAACTTGCGGCAGAAATGAAAAGATACAACCTCGAGGTGCTCGGCATCAGCGAAGCGCATTGGACACAGGTAGGACAACTGAGACTAGCTTCAGGGAAACTGCTGTTATACTCTGACCATGAAGAGTAAAATGCTTCACATACACAAGGATTTGTACTGATGCTGTCCAAACAAGCACAAAAAACACTGACAGGATGGGAATCTGATGGACCCACGATCATTAAAGCACCCTTCAAAGCACCTACCAATGACTACAATGAAGGCATTAAAGATCAATTCTACGAAAGGCTACAGTCAATCGTCGAGAAATGTTCACCAAAGGATTTGATGATTCTTATGGGAGACCTAAATTCCAAGGTTGGCATGAACAACACTGGACATCATGGGACGACATGGACTGGGATAAAGGAACGAAAACGGTGAGAGATTTGCAAACCTATGTGCCTTCAACAAACTGGTCATCGGTGGCACAATATTCCCGCACAAACGCATACACAAAGCCACATGGATTTCACCGGATCACACTACTCAAAACCAAATTGACCATATCTGTATCAACAAAACGTTCAGAAGGACCATGGATGATGTGAGAAACAAGAGAGAAGCTGATATAGCCTGTGATCACCACTTGCTGATCGCCAAAATGAAACTGAAACTCAAGAAGCAACAGTAGGTTTCAACCTACACAAGCGGAAAAGCAAGATTCTCCGATACAAGACAACATGCACCAACCAAATCATTGTTGAGGAAGAAGCTTTGGAAGATGTATAAACCTTTACATATCTGGGCAGCATCATTGACGAGCAAGGTAGATCCGATGAAGATGTAAAGGCGCGGACCGGCAAAACGAGGATAGCATTTCCACGACCAAACAACATCTGGAACTTCAAACAAATATCCACCAACACCAATATCACAATTTTCAAAGCGAACGTCAAGGCAGTTCTACTGTATGGGGCGGAAACTTGAAGAACTACGAAAGCCAACATCCAGAAGATACTAGTGTTTAGTAACACTGGTCTACGCAAAATACTTCGGATCCGTTGGCCAGACACCATCAGCAACAATCTACTGTGGGTGAGAACAAACCGAATTCCAATGAAGATGGAAGTCAGGAAGAAGTGCTGGAAGTGGATAGCACACACATTTAGGAAATCACCCACATGCGTCACGAGACAAGCCCCCACTTGGAATCCTCGGAATCAAATGAGAAGAAGAAGGCCAAAGAACACATTACACCGAAAAACAGAGACAGATATGAGAAGAATGGCCAAAAGTCAGATAGAACTAGAAAGGGAAGCCTCGGAAAGAGTAGGTTGGAGAATACTGGTCCGCGGCCTATGCGCCATTGGGATAACAGGCGTATGTAAGTAATAGTGTATGGGGGAATATCTTCAAAATATTTCATATACTTTGTGTATCAATCACTCTGATAACCGCTATTATAATAAGTCCCAACGATACATTCTTTTTAAAAGACAATACGAATTGGTGACTAGAGTTTATTTTCAACATAACACAGATGAAACAATCAGTTCATACAATACGTGAATGACAATTTGTCAAATTACTCAGACCATCTAACATGACAGTGAGTAATCAAGCATCTTATATGATCGACGTTTAGGTAGTTAGGTGACGTATTTTCGTGTTGTATAACATGTTCAATGCTAAATGTAAACAGATAGGGAAATAGTTTCTGACACAAATGATTGCTAAATCACTAAATTAAAGGGCTTAACAAATGTAAACCCATACAAACTCAAGTACAGGTTTGGATACAGTCACAGAATAGGTATCATCTTGTGATATTCTATTATTGAAACATACGGAATGGAAGAGACCAATTAGATTATTCTTCCCTGAATATCAACTACTAGCCCAAATCCACCTTCATTGTTTTATTAATCAACTTTCCCATGTTAATCACACGTTCACTTTCTACTACTTTCGATTTGAATACCTTGGACATTTAGATTTTAGGTTTCAAATATAACATCTGATGTGATATATCTGTTAAATGAATGCAAGAACTGATTTCCTATCCGCTTCTAATAACCCCAAACTTTATACGCACTGAACACAAGAGAAACGATGCGAAGTTCGAGAAAAACGCTTTATACAAAAAGATACGATTATTTGTAGAAAAATGTGGCTATTGACAGTGTCACTTATGACCTAGGACGTCTGGAAGATTTCGAGAATCATATTAAATGTAGTAGCAGTACAGCTAAATATGCACTCAGGTTCGTGACACGTGAGTTTGCATTTTTCAGCTGTTTCTGCGAAGTTTCTTTTCAAGGTTGATTAGATGAAACGTCTCCACGCTTTTCTGGGCCTATTATGAAGGATATTTTGGGGCTCCCGTACATGATGAGTTGTGAAAAATGGGAAAATATGATTATATCTATTGTGCAACATGAGTTTTTCATGTTGACATGAAATTACTTTTCTGCAAAAATCGATTTTATGAATTTAGTGAGTAGTGGAATTGGAGATTAAAATCAATTTTTGTAAACAGTATTACAACGCACAGACCATAGCTATCATTGAAATCAAGTACAAGTGGATAAATGTTTTGCCTTAGTAAGAGACCGCAGTGTAATATACACTCACAAACTCACAGGCGATTAAATGCTGAAACTTCAGACATCAGAATAAAATCTTAACCATTAGGTTGCACTGTTCAAATCCAGTAGTATGAGTTTGAAAACTTGCTGAGTTCGTGATATAGCGTAACAGTCATCTGATTCCACTGGTAAGTTCTATTTCAATCCGGATATGTCACAAATTTCCAATAGGAATTCACAAACTTATTTTGAAATAAGTTATTAATGAACTGATGATTATGATTTTGATGTAAATACTTTGTAGAGATAAGTTTAATTTGTAGATGAATTCATCAGTGATCAGTTTCAGTCAGGGTATCAGTGGTCATTGAAAGTGTCACTGAGAATGTCTCACTATTGCTGACTGACCACCATAGCACAAATTCAGTTCAAGATCTTCATGTACCAATCCATGGTGAATATCACTTGAACATCAATCTAATCAACACATAATCAACTAACATTTATTTCAAATACATTCTTACAACTGAAATAAACACGTTGCTTCATCTTATTCGAGCAGAATACATTTGAGAAATCCTACTTTATTTATTGATTATTAAAAGTCCCATATTTTTGAATAATCAGTTTAGTTCAAATTTTTCAAATTGGAGTTATAGAGATCAGTGTTTTTACACATTGTTAGACCACCATTAAAAACCTAGAAGCACTGAAAGACGGCCGTTTCTTCCTGATATAAGACTCATCAGCAGTGTGCATCTAGGACTCCTACTACTCTCAGGACTCCAACAGAGGACCTTCGATCTTGTGCACAAATGCGTAACCTCTCGATCAGCACTGTCACTCACGAGTAGTTCCATACCAGAACGAAACAGCCATCCAGTACCTTCCACGTTTCTAATCATGGTCTAACAATCATTGATTGATTGATTGATTGATTGATGATCAGTTCAAACTATTTACTAATCTTCTGTTGTTTGTTTATTTTCTCATTATAAAACAACCCATTAAATCATTTAGATTAGGTTAACCATTAAATGGGAATTACAAAATGAACAAGGAGAAGATTTAGTGTGTATTGAATTCCCAGTACAAATAGTATAAAAATGTAATTTCATTTTTTCGTTACTTCTACATTCAATTGATGATATGATTCTATTGAAAGTATATAACAATTTTATCTGTTTAAATTTCAGTATTTTATAAGATTACAAAATGTTTATAATACTACTTATCTTGTTTTCTAAAGTTGTTTAAAAGTCCCGTTTAAGATAGACTATGTATGTTTGTTTGTTTGTAAGGACGAGTGTACTGTGCAGCAGTTCGCTCCGTTCTCCTATATGGCTGTGAAACATGGCCAGTCAGAGTAGAAGATATTCGTAGGTTACTGGTTTTCGATCATAGGTGTCTTCGAAGCATTGCTCGCATACCGTGGGACAACCGAGTAAGCAATGCTGTCGTTAGGAAACGAGTACTAGGTAAGGATGGCAGATCAATCGATGAAGTGGTGAAACTTCATCAGTTGAGGTGGTTGGGACATGTGTTGCGTATGCCGAACCACCGACTGCCTCGACGAACTTTGTTTTGTAGTGTAGGAGTAGGTTGGAAGAAAGTTAGGGGCGGCCAAACCAAAACATGGCAGAAATCCATGAAGTCATTGACTAGTGGACTGAGCCATGTCGGTAATTGTCGACTACCTGGTTGGGGTCCGCGAGATGATAATAATCGATGGTTAGAGACCTTGAATGACATGACTCAAAATCGTTCGCAGTGGCACCGGTGCATTCATTCTTTGTGTTCTCTCAAATCCTAATCTTCTGTATTATTCAACACCTCTAGTTTCGACTCTCTAAACTTTTCTCACTGAATCATACTTCTTGAATAGTATCTTCTAACCCTAACCTCTCCGATTACTTCTAATTCCCTTACTACCTCTACTACTATTGAATTTGAATTGACAATTATATCTCTGTGCTGATGTGGTATGGCAACATGAACTGATGTACTTACGTACAGAGTTCTACGTTGCATCTGTCTGTATGTCTGATTGTTTGTGAGAAATTGTTGTAAGGGATAAGCAGCAATAGATATTTGATATGAATAGGTGTATTTCAACTTAGTTTATTAAATAATTTATTGTTCAATGAGGGAGAAAGTTATAAATTCTTACTAACGCATTCATAACTCCACCTGGAGTCCTTCTGGAGTTACTGCCGCTACTAAGACCGGAGGAGGGTTGGGCATTGGGTTAGCGACACTATCCCATAGAAAAATAACTCACCAAAAAAGCGCTAACTTTGCCCTGGGAGTTTGAAGGTTTTCCTTCGGAGGAGTTATCACGCCTTATGATGTTAGTACATTGTGGGAGACCGAAACAAGCATTCAAGTGGCCGAGCAAATCGGAAGTGTAGGATTTAATTTGTCCTACAAATGTACTTCTAGGACTGTAGACGCAATATTGGAGAGCACAGAGTCTATGGGAAAGCTTTCATTGTTATTCTTCTGAACAACATCATCAACTCAAACTTCATATAGCAGAAGTGAAGTATTCGCATTTCTCCACGTTTCACCCGTAGCTTGTTCTGCTAACCTCGATCATGATTGGTTGTTGTTGACCTTAAACCTGTGGTTGTTTGCACCTTTGTTTTGATTGTATCCCCCTTTCGATCTGTTTCTTGATCCTATGTCAGCTATGATTTTCCTGTTTGGTTGATAAATTGGGTCAATGTCGATGTGTTTGTTGATTGCTGATTGACATGAGTGCCAAGCTTCTAAAAACACCCTACTGTTCTTTCGCCTCCCCCCTACCCAGTATTTCCACATTGTTCCAATTGAATGACATAGGATCATGAAACAGGTCAAAAGGGGGATACAATCAAAACAAAGGTGCAAACAACCACAGGTTTAAGGTCAGCAGCAACCAATCAAGATCCAGGTTAGCAGAACAAGCTACAGGTCAAACGTGTAGAAATTCGAATACTTCACTTCTGCTATCTGAAGTTTGTGCTGCTGTTGATGTTGTTCAGAAGAACAACAATGAAATCTCCACAACCGAATCATCCAGCTCAGAGAACAAAACACCACCACCACAATCATCCACCTGAGCTACAAATCTTCTCCACCATCTCTATGGGATAGCTGCAGTCAGAACAAGATCAACTTTTGCTTTAAACTTTATCTGTTTATAAACGTAAAAAAAATTAAATTAGTACAATAATTAAGGAAATTACAGTTACCAAGTGAAACGATCAAACATACCGTGTCTTATGGAAATGAATAAAGTTATGAGTCACATCAATAATAATAAGATAATAATGTCCTTCAATTAGTAGGTCATTTACAACAAAGAAAGTTTACAGACACGTCAGGTCAGGTCACGTGCTGAACGCCTGAACTACAATTTGATTGGTTAGTTATAGCATAACTACATTTAGTCATGAAAATAACTAGCACAAAATGTTGAAATTGTTTCATGATCGACCACCTAGAAATCATGATTCAGTTATTCTAGTTGTTATCTTGCAGTTCATTAATTCTACTTTTACACTGTCATTCTCTGTTATGTCACATACCAGTTACTTATGCGAATTCTGTAAATTCTGTATGATGGTATTTAGGTGAATTGAATCAAATTGCTGTAGTATTTCATTCTTACATATAAATAGGTTTTCCTTACTGTAGCTAAGGAGTAACTATGACTCTCTTAAGGTAGCCAAATGCCTTGTCATCTAATTGAATGGGTAATATTAGGTGACGCGCATAAATGGAGCCTTCTGGGGGTTGTGGTGGCGACTAACGCTTAGGATACCGTGCCTAGCATGATCCAGAATAATGGTACGTGTTCATGGTCGCAAGGCTGTGGATGCGGTTTGCCACTCTGGGGGATTGGGGCTGAAAGTCTCTAAGTTTGAATCCCGTCCATCGAGCGTAGGTAAATTCCGATAATGGTTTGAGGACTTGTCCTCAATCGTTGCGTAGTAGCAAATACCTTGTAAGGGATGTAGCTTTCCAGGATGACTGAAGGCAGCCCTAGACGTTCTGTTTGCGGAAGCAGCCGTAGAGATCCTAGACTATGGGCGCCGACCCTATGTGATTGTCCCGAACACTTTGCATCTCGGTGTAGTGTGTCAACTGGCGTCGAGGCCCCTTAAACAAGACTCTCGAGTTGGCTTATGTGATCCGGTGCTAAAGGGTACTGGACGCCAATGATGTCTGCCCACTTCTGTGGGATTGACCCAGCTTGGCCGAGTGCTTGCACTTGGTTGAGTCCATGACATCTTCCTCATGGGAGTGTGTACGTTCCGGCTGACCTTGTGGGACAAAATCGACCTTTATCTTCATGTGCGGTCTGAGGGCTCCGGTCGATTGCATCAGCGCAAGGCAGTTGTAAGCCACACGGATGGAATGGCTGCTGGTTAGTGCACTGCTGGGTGACTCGGTAATCCGTTCAGGGTGCCAGGTCTATCTGGGTAGGCTCGCCTTGCCACCCATGTCGATTGGGGATCTAGGGTAGTGGGTTGGTGCAGGGATCTTGTTGATTCATAAGTGCTCTAACGAGGACCACCGTTCGTGTGCGTGCTTTTTGCATGTCTGACCTGCTTGCAGACCAAACTGCACAACATGTATGTTCCCGATTGGGGCAGGGGTGATCACTGTTGGCTACAGTGAAAATCCTTGTTTTGCCTAAAAAGCAGCGATGTCTCTTCGGACTCAATGTAATGAATTGAGAAGAGCTTGAGAATAGCAGACCAGTAGGAACTTAGCTTGCATTGGTTCACTGACGATGACGTACTGATCAGATTGTGTAATAAGTCAAGTTATTGATACTACGCTATGAATGATATAGCAGATGATGAAAGATAGCAAAACCAAATTCTAATTCAGATTACGATTGGTGAATTTAGCATGTAATATCGATTAGCGTCTCAAGTCATAACAAAACTCAATAATTGAATGTCAAGTAAAACTTATGTTGAAATTCATAATGATTCATTGAATTCCTATTGTGAAAAGGTTTAGACTAATCACTGCTTGAAATCTATGCACCTCTTGTCACTTCAAAATATTTTTTATTTACAGTGGAGTAGTTTAAACATAAACTTTCAAACAAAACAACCTTTTCTGTGAAGAATTAGATTCTACTCTAGTCTACATACTCTCATTATCTGTTGCGTATGCACGTAAACAGGTCATTTTGATATACTTGGATTATTACGAGTTTACCTTAGTCAGAAAACGAGAGAGAGGATAGAGGATCCAGTGATATGACATGCTACTCTAATCCGAGTATCCCAACTCCCATTGAATAAAAGAATAAGACTTGATATAAAGTAGAACCTGTATTCTGCAAGCATCCAGAAAGTACGAGGTCCAAGTCCAGAAGAGAATCAGGATCCTGGACTAAGGAACGGAATAAGGATCCGGGTTCGGGTCACAAACGTTATAGATAATGCGCATTTATACATTTAGGCCGAACAAGAAACAACATGGAAGTTTGGGACATTGATAGTTCAGAGGTCAAATGGGAAACATCATTTGCAGTGACACTGATAGTTAGGACGACCATAATATTGACCAATAAGAAACGATCAATGGAATTGGAATTCCGAAAATAGTTCTCTTAGGATATTTGATAAATATCCTAACATTATACCGTCAACTCTTTTAAAAGACGCTTAATAAATAAGTGTAAGGAATCATGATTCAGATTTAAAGTCATATATTTTCGGAGTCGAAATTAGAGTTATGATTATGTTCATATATATAAATGAATATAATTCTATCATTCAAGACTTACCATCTTGAATTGCATTGGTTAGTTCATCAATTACAGTGTCGATAGTACAGTGAGAAGATGTAATTGATCTCAAAATAGGTGATGTATTTGCGCTATACATATTTGGAACAATCTGGTTACACAAATACTTGCTAAGATATTTTAAATGAAAATTAATAAAAGGTCAATTAAATAAAAGTTCAAATAGACATAAAGTGATAATTGTAACTGAAGGAGATAGAAAATTCACGTAATATGAAAAGAATAATAAATGGTAGGAAATTGCCACATTGCCCTGAGGCCGTAAAATGGCTTAACGATTGATTACCAGGGTAAATTCAAGGTTAGATCAAATTGTTTCTGTACTCATAAGGGAGGCTTTAGTTTTAGGATAGCTAAGGCTTACATAAACTCCGAAATTCCTCCTTCAATGTTTCCAAACAATGTTTTGAAGACTGTCTTGATGTCAATCTTATGCCCTGTCTCAATTATGTGTTTTGCGATCGATAAACATGGTCTTCGGTTTCCCACGTTTATCGGCTCATCTGAAGTTAACTGATTTTGAAGCCACTCGGGAACATGTTGCATAATCCTTGAATGCTAAGTCCGATTACTCCTCCTCCCTATGTATGTGTGTCCACATTAACGTGTAAATTGATAAATGCAATGGGATGTGATGTAATCATTCGAGCAATGTTTAGGCCTACGTGGAATCATGGGCTTAGTCTTTTTAATTACAATGTATAGCGCAAATGCATCATATTTTTCAGACCAGTTACGTCTTCTCGCTGTTTTATCAAAATTTATAAAAGGGACTAATTGTTTTAAATTACAGATTCACCGATAGATAATCTAGATCAGAATAATCTAAGCGTTTAGCAAAAACTTATATAAAAATATGGTTATCTAAGAATTGAATAGTTATGTAATAAATATTTAACGATTTCCCAAGCTATTATAACAGTTTGTCAACATTTCTCCTCGGTATTATCATGAAGAGATCAAATGGTTGGATTGGATACTCGCTATACAGAGACACACGATTCACGACCTAAATAGAAAATCACAGTAAATGGTAAATAATACTTTATTCCATGCAATTACAACTAGTCACTCTCAATAAGTCCGAGAAAACAAACGGAACCACATACTTAGTAGCTAGCATGTTGTACTTGTTTATCCAATCACATTTTGCCTTCACTGTCACACATCACATACAATGGTCCGACGACTTCTACTTTCCACAAATATCCGCTTATATATATTACAACAGTCGTGTTTTTGAGTTAGAATAATCGAAGATACATCACAATACTAACATAATTATGCTTCGAACTAGGTTGAAATATCAGCCCATCCTACTTCTGTCAGTCTTGTCACCACTACCATAACTAACTTCTATCGATTCTGATCATCATATAGGCGGCTAATTATTACAATAAAACTTAATGTTTAGTCGGAAAATGTTGCTGTTTGGTCTATAAACGTTTTCTAGGTTACCACGAGGTTAACACTACCTTAACCACCGTGAATATATGCATCGTCAGGGGACATACTATTCAGGTCTTACAACTCACGGTTTTTTTTATGTCAATCCGAAAAGCTAAATTAGAATGTAGCCAATCATGTTTATTTCGGTCGATCATGTGATCTATCTATTTACAAAAATGGAAAATATTGTATTCTTATTGGTTGTATAGCTATGACCTACAAGTACCGTGGGCGTTTCTGCTCGCTGATTGGTTTCTCAAATATTCACTTTCTAAATAAGTCAGTTAAACATCAATCAGTGTTTGACTAGACGTGACGACCCAACAGCCTGTGATGATTGCCTCGTGGTTTATTTCTATCGTACTAATTCATTTTGTGGTTTCTGAACCATTTTTAGATTGTGGTAAGTATATGATTGATTGGTTTTTTTTTTATACCATGGAAGAATAGCTTTAATTTCTCCTCATAATATTTTTTCCATTTAGCCGGAACTTCATTTTATTCTTTTGAATGCAGCTTTGACTGTAGAATATGTTGTGATTAGTAGGAATCATTGAATTTAATATCCGAAATAGAAATTCCAATGACTGACTGACCAATGCATTGCCTAGTAGTCACAAATTGACCGTCATTCAAATGAAACTGATAGTAGTTGTAGCACTGTGAATCAGATGCATGGTAATATACAAATTAATTGTCGTATATAAAAACACATGCACAGAATAGAACTGAATGAGTAACCAAGATGTGCACATAAAGGTATGATTTTCTGTAAAGTATGCTTTTTGAACGATGACTGTAAAATAAGGCCTCCTGATAATGGTCAGTTATGCTACCAAACAACTGAGATGTCTTAACTCTTTTCATTATATCAATAAACAAAACTATTACTTTAGGTTTAAAATTTAAGATATCGATTTTATGAAGCTTGAATGATAGCTAATGTGAGTTCGTGCAGAAAAACCCCTGATAACATACTTTATGCTAACCAGCCTATCTAAACATTGTGATTGATAGGTTGTACTGTAAGATGTCTGTCTGTACTGTAAGATGGTGGTTGGAGGCATTCGAAAAGAAATCCTGACCTTAGGTTTCCTGCTATCCGGTACTCTTCATCAAGTTGTACCTGTAATCTTGAGGTCACTGATATTGCTTTGCAGTTTCGACCCCTTGTCACCAAGCCTTATAAAGAGCTATCGAGGAGGCGACTGACCGGCAAGACCGAGGTTTATTTACAGTTGATCGGTCACTGGGTAGTCACCAATGTCATATATGTCAGATCGTTCTTGGTGATGATCGAATTGCACTAGGGAGAATCAGTTCCTCCAAGATTGCTAGTATACCTTGCTGACGAGTGCTAAATAGAGCGAAACTGTTAGGATATTCATCAAATATCGTAAGAGAACTGGTTTTGGAAGTCTAGTTCTATTGCACAATATTATGGTCGTCCTAATTATCAATGTCACACACTTCCATGTTGTTTCCTATTCGATCTGAATGTATAAATAGGCATTATCTGTAACGGTTTTTGACCCCGACCCGCATCCTAAGTCCGTGATTCGTGTCTTCTTCTAGACTTGGACCTGGTACTTTCTGGATGCTTGTAGAATACAGGTTCTACTTCATATCAAGTCTTATTCTTTTATTCAATGGGGGTTGGGACACTCGGATTAGAGTTGCATTTCGTGTCGCCTGATCCTCTATCCTGTCTCTTGTTTTCTGACTAAGGTGAACTCTTAATAATCCAAGCGTATCGAAATGACCTGTTTACGTGCATGCTTAACAGAAACATAGGTTTGGAGTTTCTTGTTGACTACCTCCAACCACCATCTTAACTCTCAACGTAGTGCACGCGATGTTGAATTACCTATACTATCATACACAATGCATTTTAATCTGTAGAATTGGATCAGCATTAAGAATAACTTGGTATACATAGCAGTTGTTATTTCTCAGTGCTTGGTCAATTATAAATAGATTGTATTACCAGTTATTTGAAATGAAAAATACTCTGTGTTTAAACACATATTATTCCTCAGAACAGTACACATACTTGTAATTAGTAAGGTTAGATGTGTAAAATTGTGATTAAAATATATTGTTATGGGACCGTTCCCGCAGACGACAAGTGGTAACCAGTACCTGCTGGTGATGACTGAGCATGCCACACGATGGGTAAATGCCGTGCCGATGGCGGACCAACGTGCAAGGACGGTGACGGAAGCGGTAATGCGGCACATTGTGGCGGACCATGGGATACCAAAGATAATATTAACCGATCAAGGTCCCTGTTTCGAGAGTGATGAGTTCAAGTCCCGTCTAAAGCAGTTAGGTATCAAGAGAGTACGAACAACGCCGTATCATCCACAGACGAATGGGTTAACGGAAAGGAATAACCGAACGCTAAAGGAATGGCTAGCATCTAAAGGGGGTGACTGGGAGAAAGAATTACCATTAATCTTGCTGGCACATCGTGCCTCGGCACAGGGAATAACCAGGAAGTCACCGTTCCAGCTGATGTACGGCAGACGGCCGAGACTACCAACGCATGATAAAACCTGGCCGCAACAACAGAGATGGAATACAACAAGATTGAGAACAGAGCGGAGACAAGCAATCAGGAATGTGAGAGAGAAACAAACATCAGACATGGAAAAGTCAGAACAGGAGAGAAAGAACTGGAGATTGTTTGAAGTGGGAGATCAGGTGAAGTGTAGAGAACGGAAATATACCACAGGAAGAGGGCCAGGGTCAGGTAAGCTGATCTCGAAGTGGGAGGGACCGTACGTCGTCACCGAGAGGCGCGGCACAGTGTATACGATCCAGAAAGGAAACAAACAGAAACGCGTGAATGCCAGTGAACTCCAAAGGTGGTTCCAAGTGCGCCAAGAGGGCGAGCCACAAACACTGATAAAGAAGACGGCTGTACGGAGATCAGAAAGACTACGACGACAGCTTATTAAAAGGGGGGACGAGTGTGGTGCGAACTACTTATAAGTAGTATATAACGTGAGTGTCAACGTAAAGTCTGGTAGCATAATATGGGGGAAGATCAAGAAAGGAAGAGTTAGAAAACAATGGAATTTGTATGAAACGCATGAATAGTGACAATGGATTGATCTTTTGCAACAGGAACAGTCCAGTTCGATAATATGATGAACTGATATTTTGCAAATGAACGATTTACGATATGGTTTTCCGATTTTACTGAGTAACTCTGTAATTTTCGTTAAATACCATTCGGTTGCCATCACCTGTGTTCTCACTCACTACAGTATCACTGTTTTCATTTTAGGATTTTATAATTAATCCTTTAGTGCAGTATTGATAACAACTCAATATTGGCAGTAATTAACCATGACAACTACTAGGGGATTATTTCATGGTATACTAATAATCATAATAATATATATGTATATATATATATATCAGCGATATATATGTATCCCCAAAATTTAACGGAATCATTGACTGATCCTACCAGTAGTAGTCATAAACAATATCAGACCAAACCTAGTACAAGTGTATATCATCCAAAATCTTCACACATTCCATAAACAGCAAGTAAGAGTTTGTAAAATACAAAATGTAAGCCGTAAAATAATTTTTATTGATTGGTTGTATCAATAAATATCACTCAAGTTTATTGGAGATAGTCTAACCTGTTGACAATTTGACAATGATGTCATTATATATTATTGCTAATTATTTTTTTGTATACTAGGATCTCAAGTCGGGAAAATATTTTCACTGACAGTAACTCCATGTGACCGATCACCTTGTGCATTGTATAAAGGTAAAAATTCTACGATCACAATTGAATTCAGTACAAGTGAGTTGTTATTCAGTTACATATTTGATAATAAGTTTGTTTCAAACTATTTCTATATTAATTGCTTTAGGGTGGTATGCGTCGTAGATAAAAATATGTTGATTCGGCAACAGTAACTATAATTTAATGTGGTTAATAGGACCTCCAAACTCCAACTATCGTATATGCACAGAAATTATTGAGAAGTCTTCTAAAAAGTTTGAGCAAGACAATAAGATGTTCGTTTAAATTGATGTCAAAATATATAAACGGATAGTTGTACAAAAGTTAAGCTCAGATTATAACAGTAGATATTAAAGATGAGACTTTGGTGATTTGTGTGTCGTTAACTGTTAACTAATATCATGTCATGTACCAGAACCACTAGTCGGAATACAATTCCGCGCTAAATAACCTTGGGTCAACATCTAAATTCCTGCTGGTTCAAAACCCTCTCTCTCTCTCTCTCTGTTCTGTCCGTTAAGTTCTGAAGTGCGTAACCAGTCTGTGCTATACGAATTATCTATTTCAAACATTGTGTTGTAACGCTTGCTTATATATTTCCCGGCTAAATCCTATTGCTTAGTATTCTCTGACCACAATACACTGGACAAGTTCCCAAGAATCAAAAACACGGTTGAACAGGAAAAGGTTATATTCCAAATAGCAAGGTTAAGTGGAAATAAGAAGCCAAAGGTGATGGCGAAGGCGAAGGCCAAAAATAGACACAACGTTAGTTTATTAATAGCATTTACATGAGAAGCTTCTGGATAGAAATTCACGTGATTGACTGGATGAGATTTAACCAATCAGCACGCAGCTAACAATACGAGAATTTTCTACCCGGTTCTCCAAGAATCGATCGGGCGCTGATTGGATATTAAATTAGCCAATCAGCGCGTAGCAACGTAGTCATGCTTTACTTCCATCTATGTCCCACTAACACATTGTGATCTACATACAGACCATACTTGACCATATGAGACTATGAATAGAATGTAACAATTTTACAAGAATGAATGAAAAAAGGTGCATATGCGCAACGGCGAATGTAAGTATTAAACTGGCAACAAAATACAAATAATAAATCGTATGATAATAGTTTATGAGTTAATGGGAAGCTTATGATAAAAGGAACATATACAACAACATGTGATTCTAACTGGAATAAAATTATAGCACAATCCTCTAGGGATCACGTCGTAATCACTTTTACACTCTTAACAAATTAGCCCCTCTCCTGTTGTATTCTCATTTCAGTTGATAAATATTTAAAATGTTTAGAAAATATGAAAAATAGTGAATAACTATCAACTAAGTTTTATCTAGTAGGATGTGTGGATATGAGAAAAACAACAGAATAACACACAACCTAATAAATCAGTATAATAATGTGATTTATTGAAACCTTGAAGATAGATTACTGCCCCCAAAATACTTTGGTACGGCCAACGGTTGAAAGAATCCATTCTCTCTGAAAATGCTCTCACATAGCCATGCGTATATAAGCCACTGCCTGGCTAATCCTACTTACTGCCTTCTCGTAGTGGGATTGCTGTTTACGAAATCGAGAGGATGGACAGCAAGTGTCCAGGTTGGTTGGCACGGAGAATCCATCTAGCGGCATGACTAAGAATATATAGTCAGAGATAAATAAGACAGACATATGACAAGCGTAATAGGCATGCACACACGTGAACAAAAGCGGCGAATGATTGACAAGCTCATTAGCAAGCGAGACAACTCATGTGAGTTCATAAAGTTATTAAGAGATTAACATAAAAGCGAAGAGGATGAGTTCGCGCGTAGGCATAAGCGATGCTCATTCGTAGAAGCTCATACAAACCGGACAATAAAAAATACCAATGGTACATATAGGTTGTTGCTATACGAATAGCTTGGTCACATAAGTTAATCGGAAGGCTTAATCAAATTAAATATATGAACGAACTCAAGTTTATGCGGAGGCACTACAATGTAAGTAAGTACAAAGTTGTACGTTGTAGTTGACTGACTAAGTGAAATGCATTCAAACTAAGTCACTTTTGTATTATACTACTCTCTCTTTCTTTCTTGATTACAGCAGAGACTGTGGTAAATGGTAAGATTGCTGTCCATGGAGTTTTTGCACATGTACCAATACCATTTCCACTTCCCAATTCAAATTTATGTGAATTTGTCAGCCCAGTATGTCCTTTGCTTCCATCTATAGAGAAATATACACACACATATACTTTGCCTGTGCAACATATGTATCCATCGGTAAGTCGAAATAAACTTATTTTTGAAATGTACATCATATATATATATATATATATATATATATATATATATATAAGATAGAGCAGTGCAAAACAAAGTCACGTATGAAAGGATACTGGATTTTGAAGATCATAAGAAAGATGAGTGAACGCATCTCTGTCATTGTGAATAATTCTGAGACATCACATCCAACGTCTCCAATCACTCTTCAAACCTGAATCTTTCCGATTACTGCTAGTACTTCTACTACATCTACTTCTCTGAGATTCGAATTGACTATTTGATCTCTGTGCTAAGGTGGTGGGTGGTATGGCAATCGGTGTACTAACCTACGAAGTTCTACATTGCAGCTGACTAACTCTCCAACCACTGATTACGATTATGGTTAGTACACAGACTTCAATAAACTAGTCTGCATCTACCAAAATAGCTTAAACCAATAGTCAGTAACTTTGTTGACTGAAATAGAACATAGAGGACCGCTGGAAAGTGTGTCGTGTCTTGGTTGACGGATGAATGTTTTGCCTGCACCATAAATGATAAGTTGGTAAACACTTATCGAGTTCTTGAATCTGTGCCAAGATTACATTAGGCACTGATCCACAAGGGCTAATAAGGTTTTCAAGAATATATATATATATATATATATATATATTAATATAATCAACTACTCCACTTTATAGCTAGCTAGTTGAGGCGCCATGGGTTAGAGACACCATTCCGTCAAAAACTAACTTGCCAAAAAAACGCTAACCAGAAAACATAATTCAAAACATTTTAACTCTGACCTGGTAGTTGGAAGAAGAATTGTGACGTCTCATGATGAAAGCCGAGTTCCCTCGGAAGTCACCAGGCCGATGCCTTTTCACACAACCATTCTTTTAGGTACATGGAGCGTTTGTACATTGTGGGAGACTGGAAGACTATTTCAAGTTGCGGCAGAAATGAAACGATACAACCTCGAGGTGCTCCTCATCAGTGAAACGCATTGGACACAGGTAGGACAACTGAGACTTGCTTCAGGCGAACTGCTGTTATACTCTGGCCATGAAGAGGAAAATGCTTCACATACACAAGTAGTTGCACTGATGCTGTCCAAACAAGCACAAAAGGCACTGACAGGATGGGAATCTCATGGACCCAGGATCATTAAAGCATCCTTCAAAACAAAAAAAAGAGGGTTGTACAGCGAATGTCATTCAATGCTATGCACCTACCAATGACTACAATGAAGGTGTTAAAGATCGATTCTACGAGAGGCTGCAGTCAATCGTCGAGAAATGTTCACCAAAGGATTTGACGATTCTTGTGGGAAACCTGAATACCAAGGTTGGCATGGACAACACTGGATATGAAGACATCATGCGATGACATGGACTGGGAGCTTTGCAAACCTATGTGTCTTCAACAAACATAAACATCCAGGCTCAGAAAACGTAACTATCATAATCATATAAGCAAATTCAAACCATAATCTTGACGTAGTTAAACTTAAATAGATGAAATTCCGTTTACGGGAAATTTATCTGCTGTTAAAATATAACTTGCCCTAATCAGTACAATGAACACATATCGGAAACAGTAAAACACAATAATAATTGAAAAATAATGTGAAACAGTCACGATTTCAGAAAAAGTACACTGATTGTTATAATTGGTATTTATGCAAAGATTTTTTTGAACAATTTGGTCTCGTGTGCTGTTACGGGTATGAGGGCGGTTGTCACTTCCCGGCTGCCCACACCGTGGAAGGTCGTTCCTTGAGGGACGTGGAAAGGAAGATGGATTAGTGTTGGTGCGTGACCGCAGAGCCCAAGGGACGACTGCTTGAGGCCGGTCACGCACGGCCTTTTTATGAAAGGTATTTAGAGGATTAGCTCCGTTCTTAAAGGCCCTTAGCGGGCACCCTTACCGCCGGAGATTGAAATACGTGAGGTATGGGAGGTGTGACGTTTTTAGCGCCGACCTTTTCTAACCCTTCCTTCCTTGTGAGAAGGCAGCATCGCTGCAGATGCTGGTTGCCCGAGGGAAACACCTTACTGCTGTCACACCCCTCCACCACAGTCAGCAGTACGACTTCGCCCTCAGACCTTGGGTAGCTGCTTTTAGTCTCATCGTTCTCCAATCGACCTGCCTGGCATGGTAGAACCTTGAGGAACATATGTTCCAGCCAGTATAGCTCGGTTGGGTGGTCATCACGATAGGCAAGCCCGACCACCACGTCAAGGTATCAGCTACGGTCGGGTATGCGAAGATGGGTTAGATCAGAGAATTAAACTGGATTATAAAAACCAAAAAAACTATAAATTTCTAGTATTCCATCTGTCAGAGCACATCATCTTAGAGTGAATGAAGAATGTTTGTAGTGAATACAGTTTAGTTTAATTTGTAAGATCTATCTATCATCATTTGATCAAAGGAATCACTATAGTTAAACATCTCTCTCTCTCTCTGTGCATTAGAGTACTAATTATCCTCACATCATGAATGATGTAACTTATAGATCAATAAAAGACGAACTCATGATCATCAATATTCAATGGACCTAAACCACCACACTCTACTGCATACTGCTTATAATACATTTACCACATTGCGAATAACATCCCTGTTGTAACGGTAACTTAGATAATTCCTGGCTAAATCTTATTGCTTAGTATTCTTTGACACAAACACTGGACAAGTCCCCAAAAATCAAAACACGGTTGAACAGGAAAGATTATAATCCAAAATAGCAAGGAATAAGAAGTTGGAGGTGATGGCGAAAGCCAAGGCAAAGAAGGCAAAATTAAATACAACGCCAGTCTATTTATAGCCTTTACATGAGAAAGCTTCTTGAAGAAAATTCACGTGATCGGCTGGATTAGATTTAACCAATCAGCATGCAGCTAATGATACGAGAATTTTCTATCGTGTTCTCCAAGCTTCGATCAGGCGCTGATTGGATAGGAAATTAGCCAATCGGCGCGTAGCGACATAGTCATGCTTTAATTCCATCTACGTCCCACTAACAATCTATTATTACAGACCTATTGAGTATGGAAATTATTATTATTATTATTATTATTATTATTATGTAGTATTTTTATTGCTTTGTTTATATTATAGTTGATATAAAATGTTTATGCATTTTCTTGCCCTCACCCCCACCTCCACCCATCCGTTTTTTTCTTCTCTAATCTAGATTTCTTTAAAAGTTCGATGGGAATTAAAAGATAGTTCAAGTAAAGATATAGTTTGTATTGAATTCCCTGTTCAAATCATTTAAATAAAAGTACACTATTATTAGTCGTCATCGTTCTATTAGTAGTAGTAGTAGAAGTAGTAGTCATAGTATAATGCAAGTCAATTCATTAAAACTTCATTAAATAATAATACACTGCAAACTACTAATTTTGTTTCATTCTTCTTAATAATAATAAACAATATGTAAAATGATATGAAAAGAACTTGGACAATGATGATAATTATTATTCTTTTGTTGAAAGCATATTTTTTCAGTTTTATGTGTATTGTTCTGTCTTGTTTTGTTCTCTACCGTAAAAAAATAGAACATCGTTGAAATAATCATTTTTACACTGTTCATACTATGTTTATCAATCATGTGTTTTTTTTTAACGAGAAAAAAAAATGCATTTGATCTGATTTGATTTGATTGATTTATAGAAAGTTTGTATCATGATTTTATTTTTTCATTTTTTACGTTGTAATTAAATGAACAATGTTTGGAGATGAGTGTTTTATTTTTTTTTGGTGGTTGATTCAATGATATGATATGCATTGGGTTTTTGGGGAATTCTTGAGATTTAAGGGTTGATTGTCAACGAGTCAGTCAGTCAATTGCACCGTAGAACTTCTTACGTATATACATCAGTTCATGTTGCCATACCACATAATTAGCAAAGAGATGCAAATGTCAAATCAAATACCATAGTGATAGTGATAGTAGAATTATTAGCAATAATGAAGAAGATTAGGGAGCAAAGATATGATTCAAAAAGTATAATTCAGTGAGATAAATTTAGAAGGAGAAAGATAGAGATTATTATGAGGAATTCAGAAGGTTAGAATTAGAGAGAACTCAAAGAATGGATGCACTTGTGCCATTGCAAACGATTTTGAGCCATTTCGTTCAAGGTCTCTAACCATTGATGACTTTTGTCTCGCGGACCCCAACCAGGTAGTCTACATCTACCAACATGACTTCATGGATTTCTTCCATGTTTTGGTCTGGCCGCCCCTAGCTTTCTTCCAACCTACTCCTATACTGCGAAACATAGCTTGTCGAGGCAGTCGGTGGTTAACCATACGTAACACATGTCCCAACCACCTCAACTGATGAAGTTTCACCACTTCATCTATTTACCTGCCATCCTTACCTAGTACTCGTTTCCTAACGACAGCATTGCTTACTCGGTTGTCCCAGGATATACGAGCAATGCTTCTTAAACGTCTATGGTCGAATACTAGAAACCTACGAACATCTACTCCAAACGGCCATGTTTCGCATCCATATAGGAGAACGGAGCGAACTGCTGCGCAGTACACCCGTCCTTTGGTTAGCCAGCGGGTATCTCGCTTACGTCATAAACGGCTTAAATGAGCAAAAGCAAATCGAGTTTCTGTATCCGTGCTGAGATTTCGTCAGTCACCAGGCTATCGGCACTGATGAGACTCCCCAGATAAGTGAAGTGATCAACACGCTCGATTACTTCACTCCCTATCACTAGTTCAGGTTCTGATGCAACTCAGTCTTGAAGCAACATTTTGCATTTTGGGAGGTGGGAACCGCATCCCTAACATGCTTGCATTGTTGTTTATGGTAGTCAGAAGACTGAATTTTGTCAACCTCTTTACCAAGTAGGACTATGTCATCGGCATATTCTAGGTCAGTAAGTGATTTTCCTTGTAGAATGTCAACCCCTGAAAAATCTGACGACCTTATTGTTAACACTAAGAGTATGTATACGACAAAGTTAAACAAGAATGGAGTGAGTGGAAAATATGACGGACGCCACTTGATTTAGAGAATTCAGATGGTAGTTCGCCATAAGCTCTCACTCGACCAGTGGTGTTCGAGTAGAGAGCTTGTATTAGGTTACTGTATTTCTTTGGTACACCTTTCAGTGACAGACACTGCCTGAGAACCTCACGATCCACTGAGTCAAATGCCGCCTTAAGGTCCAGGAACACGACTATTGTCGGATGTCTAAATGTCGACAATCTGGACGTCGTTGATGACCAAGCTCTTCTATCGCACACGCAACAACAAATGCAAGAGAAGACTAGTGTAGCAGCAGTAGGTTTCAACATGCACAAGGGGTTCTGCTAACCTGGATCTTGATTGGTTGCTGCTGACCTTAAACATGTGGTTGTTCGCACCTTTGTTTTGATTGTATCCCCCTTTTGACCTGTTTCATGATCCTATGTCATTCGATTGGAACAATGTGGAAATACTGGGTAGGGGGAGGCGAAAGAACAGTAGGGTGTTTTTAGAAGCTTGGCACTCAGGTCAATCAGCAATCAACAAACACATCGACATTGACCGAATTTATCAACCAAACAAGAAAATTATAGCTTACATAGGATCAAGAATCAGATCGAAAGGGGGATACAATCAAAACAAAGGTGCAAACAACCACAGGTTTAAGGTCAACAACAACCAATCAAGATCGAGGTTAGCAGAACAAGCTACGGGTGAAACGTGGAGAAATGCGAATACTTCACTTCTGCTATCTGAAGTTTGAGCTGATGTTGTTCAGAAGAACAATGAAAGCTCTCACATAGACTCTGTGCTCTCCAATATTGCGTCTACAGTCCTAGAAGTACATTTGTAGGACAAATTAAATCCTACACTTCCGATTTGCACGGCCACTTGAATGGTTGTTTCGGTCTCCCACAATGTACTAACATCATAAGGCGTGATAACTCCTCGGAAGGAAAACCTTCAAACTCCCAGGGCAAAGTTAGCGCTTTTTTAGGTGAGTTAGTTTCCTATGGGATAGTGTCATTAACCTAATGCCCAACCCTCCTCTGGGCTTAGCAGTGGCAGTAACCCCGGAAGGACTCCAGGTGGAGTTATGAATGCGTTAGTAATAATTTATAACTTTCTCCCTCATTGAACAATAAATTATTTAATAAACTAAGTTGAAATACATTTATTCATATCAAATATATATTGCTGCTTATCCGTTACAACAATTTCTTACAAACAAACGGACAGACAGACAGATGCAACGTAGAACTTGGTACGTAAGTACATCAGTTCATGTTGCCATACCACATCAGCACAGAGATATAATTGTCAATTCAAATCCAATAGTAGTAGAGGTAGTAAGGGAATTAGAAGTAATCGGAGAGGTTAGGGTTAGAAGATACTATTCAAGAAGTATGATTCAGTGAGATAAGTTTAGAAAGTAAAAACTAGAGGTGTTGAATGATCAAGAAGATTAGGATTTGAGAGAACACAAAGAATGAATGCACCGGTGCCACTGCGAACGATTTTGAGTCATGTCATTCAAGGTCCCTAACCATCGTCAGTATCATCTCGCGTACCCCAACCACGTAGTCGACAATTACCGACATGACTCAGTCCACTAGTCAATGACTTGATGGATTTCTGCCATGTTTTGGTTTGGCCGCCCCTAACTTTCTTCCAACCTATTCCTACACTACAAAACAAAGTTCGTCGAGGCAGTCGGTGGTTCGGCATACGCAAGACATGTCTCAACCACCTCAACTGATGAAGTTTCAGCACTTCATCTATTGAACTGCCATCCTTACTTAGTACTCGTTTCCTAACGACAGCATTGCTTACTCGGTTGTCCCACGGTATGCGAGCAATGCTTCGACGACACCTATGATCGAAAACCAGTAACCTACGAATATCTTCTACTCTCACTGGCCATGTTTCGCATCCATATAGGAGAACGGAGCGAACTGCTGCACAGTACACTCGTCCTTACAAACAAACAAACAAACATACATAGTCTCTTAAACGAGGCTTTTAACAACTTTAGAAAACAAGAAAGTATTATAAACATTTTCCAATCTTATAAAATACTGAAATTTAAACAGATAAAATTGTTTTATACTTTAAATAGAATCATTTCATCAATTGAATGTAAAAGTAACGAAAAAATGAAATTACATTTAAACTATTTGTACTGGGAATTCAATACACACTAAATCTTCTCCTTGTTCATTTTGTAATTCCCATTTAATAGTTAACCTAATCTAAATGATTTAATAGGTCGTTTTATAATGAAAAAAAATAAACAAACAACAGAAGATTAGTAAATAATTTGCACTGATCATCAATCAATCATTCAATCAATGATTGTTAGACCATGATTAGAGACCTGGAAGGTACTGGGTGGCTGTTTCGTTCTGGTATAGAACTACTCGTGAGTGACAATCCTAATCCAGAGGTTACGCATTTGTGCACAAGACTGAAGGTCCTCTGTTGGAGTCCTGAGATTAGTAGGAGTCCTGCCTTGACGTTTGCTTCGAAAATTGTGATTTTGATGTTGGTGGATATTTGTTTGAAGTTCCAGATGTTGTTTGGTCGTGGAAATGCCATCCTTGCTTTGCCGTTCCGCGCATTTACATCTTCATCGGATCTACCTTGCTCGTCAATGATTCTGCCCAGATATGTAAAGGTTTTCACATCTTCGAAAGTTTCTCCCTCAATAATGATTTAGTTGGCGCATGTTGTCTTGTATCGGAGAATCTTGCTTTTCCGTTTGTGTAGGTTGAAACTTGCTGTTGCTTCTTGAGTTTCAGTTTCATTTTGGTGATCAGGAAGTGGTGATCACAAGCTACATCAGCTTTCCTCTTGGTTCTCACATCCTCCATGATCCTTCTGAATTTTTTATTGATAGATTTATGGTTGATTTGGTTCTGAGTATTATGATTCGGTGAAATCCATGAAGCCTTCTGCATGCGTTTGTGTGGAAATACTGAGCCACCGATGACCGGTGTTTTTGAAGACACATAGGTTTGCAAATCTCTCACCAAATTCGTTGCCTAATCTCATTCCATGTTTTCCCATGATGTCATCATATCCATAGTTTGAATCA